CGTTTAAAGTTATAGTACGGGACTTCCTGGAGGTGTAGAGTGAATTGCCATGGAAATAGAAAGTTAAAGCCATACTTCGGGACTTCTTCGATTGAGATAGATACATTTAATGCCATATTGTTGAATGATGTAGTGTATATCAGGCCAAGTAAGAGTCAGGTTTGTGGAGAGGTGAGACCGCTCAGAGGAGGACACAGTTCAATAAAAACATCCATAATGAAAATAACATGCTTTTATTTTAGTCTTTTTTCTCTCTTTCTCTTTTTTGGGGGGCAAAGAGTCACATACTATGGCTTTAAAGGTGCACTGTGTAACATGTATGTTGGGAGGTTCTTGCCACTTGTTTACTTGTTTGTCTCCATGGAAACCGAATTGTTTTGCCTGGAATGTTCTGCAGATTTTTTTTTTTTTTTTTTCAATTACAGTGGGTCTACTGTATTCTGCTGTGATCGGGCTTGCCTCTCCACAAACCTGACACATAACTCGGCCTGGTGTCATAAAAATAGTGGTACGTTCCAAGCAAAACATTTAAGGCCTATACTACACTATTTTCTGAACTTTGTTATAATGTTGTTTCCTCATCACAAACATACTTGAAGTTGTGTTTAGTTTCATTCACACATGTTTAACACACAAACTCTGCATTTTTAGGTCACATTTACACTGAAACAAATCACTGTATCGGAAATTATTTGCGTCCAGACACGTTGGTTTGGTGTCCGCAATCAAAGCCTTCCCTATCCACACAGTAACGTGAAACCGCCTGAAACGCAAGTCACATGACTAGGCTAGGTAAAGTCGTCACGGTATCAGGTGGGTGGTAAAAACAAGGAGGCGGAGCAGCAGCCAATTTCGTGCTGAGGAAGATGGCAAGCGTGAAAACATGCTTTTCATAGACTGACGACGAGATTACATTGTTAAGATTGGATTGTTTAAACTGTTTCCCACAATAGCGTCACATGAACGATGTCACGAACCCAGTGAATCAGAAAGGCGCAAGTCACAGTGACGTGATCCAATAAGGACGCAAGTAGAACTCCTACGTCGGCGTATCAACGTTTTCAGGCGTCCACAGAATGCCAGATCAGATCCATGCTCAGATGAATTCGTGGGAGCTGGCGGCACCGGATCGTTTTGTCTCTGGAGCCGTTTTCCATCAGATTAGTGTGGACGAGCACTGCATCCACAACGAAAACGACTCGAATATGTACTCTTTTCCACCTTGTGATGTCATCTGGTAATACAGGAAGTGCTTCACTGTGTTTTTAATCCTCACATACTTTCACTAGAATCATTTGGATCATTTCAGCTCTGGAATTGCGTGGACAAAAGGTAAAAAGTAGCTATTAATTTGAAAACTACCGCTATGTGACATCACGAGGTGGATCAGAGCATTTTGAGCTTTGGACTAATAATAAAGGATTACTCAAACATGTGTGAATGAAACAAAACGCAACTCCAGGTCTGCATTTGATGAAGTAACAACATTATCGCTTAAAGCTCACTGGAATCAGTTTAGTGTAATATAGAACCTTTTAACATCTCCATTTAGACCTTCCGGTAGAAAAGTTCCACAGTACACCTTTAACATAATGTATCCTTATGTCAGTTTGTTTACCACATTCCGAGACCTCGCTGTGTCAAATCCGAACCAGTGGAAAATTACACCAGTTCATAAAATAGTTGTCCAATGTTCACAGGCATTTCCAAAACTCAGCACGGGGCATTGACTCCAGTCGTAGTAAGCAGCGTCAAGACGTGTACTTTGGGGCCAGTCCAAATCCACTCGAAATGTTTGAACACTATTAATAAACAGGCTTTCTACTCTTTAACCATATACTACTACTACTACTCGCACTACTACAACAGCAATTTTATGAGTCGAGATAAAATGTGCTTATACTAGGGTTGATATGTTTATTAAGAGGGGTAAATAAAGATCAAGTCCAAATCCACAAGAAATATTTGAGCACCATGAAGCTGGTTTTCTACTCTTCGCTATAATACACATACAATGACTACTACTACTACTACTACTACTACTATTACTAATGTTGGAGACTGAATCAAAAAATGTGCATAAACAAAGAGTGATATGTTTATTAAGTTGGAAAATGAAGACCAAGTCCAAATCCACTAGTGATATTTAAGCACTATAAAGCAGGATTTCTACACTTCTACTACCACTACTACTCTACTACTACTACTACAACTACTACTACTCGCACTACTACAACAGCAATTTTATGAGCCGAGGTTTAATTTGCTTATACAAAAGTTGATATGTTTATTAAGAAGGGTAAATAAAGACCAAGTCCAAATCCACTAGAAATATTTGAGCACTATGAAGCTGGTTTTCTACTCTTCACTATAATACACATACTATGACTAGTACTACTACTACTATTACTAATGTTGGAGAATGAATCAAAAAAAGTGCATAAACAAAAAGTGATATGTTTATTAAGTTGGAGAATCAAGACCAAGTCCAAATCCACTAGAGATATTTGAGCACTATGAAGCAGGATTTTTACACTTCTACTACCACTACTACTCTACTGCTACTACAACAACTACTACTTCTTCTACTACTACTACTACTACTACTACTAGAGAATGAATCAAAAGAAAATGTGCTTATACAAAGATTAATATGTTTATTTACAGGGAAAATACAGGCCAAGTGCAAACTGGAGCTCATTCCAGGACTAATCCGGGACTAATCCATGACTTAAGACTGTTGTAATTAAAAGCAGAAATGGTTCCAAGGCAGGTCTATTGACTCATACATGTAATAGATCAAGTAGCTGTGTTTGTAGTAGTTTTGGTAACTAATGATACAGAGTCAGAACTAAACCTAGAACAAGTTAAAAGTGTAAATTAAACCACAACTGAAACAAACCAAGATTTTATCAGTGAGCAAAAGTTAAAAAAGAGACCTAGCCCATTCATTTGTGTCCTTTATAGTGGACATTGAGTTAACCATTTTATCTTTTAAGTCTTTTGAGATAGACTTTCATAGGGGGGGCTAGGTTACTCTGCCTAAACAGGGCTTATATGGGGATTAAAGGGTACTATCATGTCAGGCTGGCCTGGGAACGCCTTGGGATCCCCCCCACAGGAGCTGGACGGTCAGGGGTGAAGGAAGTCTGGGAGTCCCTGGATCATGTCCATGATGAAAATTAAATAAAAATCAACGGGAGTTTGTGGCTGCATTATGATAAAAACAAACAAACAAACAAAAGAAATAAGAAATTAAAAGGGAGTCTAAAAACATTTGACTGTAAAAGCTTGTCAAAGATGTTGGTCACCAAAAAAATGTTTTTTTTAGGTTGGATTTAACACCAAAACCACCCCGGTGTCCATTACAGGACATGTTACAAAATTATAAATAAAAATAAAATGAACAAAATCTAAATGCTAAGGTTTTCTTTTACCTCCAAATAGATCAAAAATTACAAAAAATATTTATTGCAATACACTTTTTTTCTTCAGGTCCCAGGAGGTTAATTAAAGATATTACACAAAATGAACTCTCGTGAACTTTAAGCCATTTTGGAATACTGTTACCTCCACAAAAAACATACCTGGGGTTGTGTTTTGGTTCCTGCACACATGTTTGAGTAACCCCTTATTATTGATTACATCTCCAAACCTGAAAAAGCTCTGTTCCACCTTGTGATGTCATGAAGTCATTTTCCAATTAACTGCTAACTATTACCTTTTGTTCACCTTTAGTTAGAGATTAGCAATTTCACATCTGAAGTCATCGACATTAAATTTAAAAACACAATGGAGCACTTCTTGTATCACCACATGACATCACAAAGTAGAGTGTTTTCAGTTTGAGAGAAGAACTCAGCCTAAATATGCAGGATTTGTGTGTTAAATGTGTGAGGAATCCCTAATACGAATGTTATGAATACTTAGACTTGCAGGGTTGGCTATGTGACCTTTTTTTCTGACAGAGGGTCCACTACCTGCTTCTGTGCATGCTTGCTTTGCCTGGAATGTTCCACAGTATGACATTAAAAAAAAAAACTTACATATCTTACTTCTATTACTGCCCCAAAATACATTGATAAACATGTGTTCTTACTGTGAGCTGTTTATACTATAGAACATTCCAGACAAAGCAATAACATCTCCCTTAAAGGTGCATTGTGTAACTTTTCTAGTCAAATGCTTTTCTCCAGATGTTATTGCTTTGTCCGGAATGTTTCACAGTATGGCATTAAACCTTTGTAGACCAAACCAGACCAAGTTACAGGTCAGATCTGTGGAGAGGCGACCCCGCTCGCAGTCAGAATGGATGTTTTGAAGTATTTTTGAGCTATAAGGTGTAATGTAGAGCTGTTTAAGATCGTATTTTGGGACATTCCAGGCAAAGTAAAGACGTATCCATAGAAACAAGCAGGTGACGGACCCTCAACCAGAAAAGTTACACAGTGGACCTTTAACGTTGAGCTAGAACTTAACTCCTAAGAACGTGCCAAATCCCCAAAAGGTCTACGTAGCTGTCAAAACGTTTTCTACGCAGGACAGCAGTCAAGCTTGAGGGGCTGTGTGCCGGAGTGAGAATCCCATTCAAACTCTAATGAAGACGCATGTGAAAGTTTTCCTCCTTGCTCAGCGCTGCTTTTTTCCACTACTCGCTTCTACAAACATTAGTCAACATCCTAATTCCTGAAAAAAGACACAAGCGTGGCGCAATAACTTACTTGGCTTCACTGCGTCCAAGGCGTAAACCTCTCGTTACGCACAATCAACGGTGCGCGTCCTGGCCAAATAACGGCACGGGGACGCACAGAAGGCGGGCATCTGCTTATACCATCAACGTGTTTTATCTGTAGCCGGTGCCCTACTTGTGCGTCTACGTGGCAGGTATACACTTGGATTATGTAAAGATGCATATTTTGCAAAAGTACGCGTGAGATTATGAGCATTTTGGATCAAAGTGTATGGAAATGGTTCAAAACTAAAACAGAGCAAGTACTTACAGAGTTTATCCAGAAAAGATATCGGTGGACAGGCGGTGCAGATTAGTCCAAAACTTGATTGAAAATGTCCGTTGATTTTCACTTGTTGTGCCTAAAATTCCTCCAAAACAAACTAAAAGGAAAAGTTTTGCAAAGCGCAGTGTCAAAGCCGAATCGATGTGATAGAAAACTCCGCAAAAACACAGCCAGGTAAGCCTTTCATTTTAGGTCCGTGCGTGAATCCAGTCTGCTCTCACGCTTTTTCCCCCGCTGGTGAAGAGTTGGAACGGTTTGTTTAGTTGGCTGGTCCAGATGATGTCCCGTCAGTGCCTCTCCGCGCTGGCTCTCCGCGCTCTCTCTCCCTCTCTCTCACTACTGCCTCTCCGCTCCGCACACGAGAGGACCTTTGTCTGCGCATGACGTCACTCTCACGCACACACGAACGGCCGGGGCTGCTCGCGCTGCGCAAAAGTGACAAAGAGTGGCATTGAAGAGTGTTTATGGTCCATCTCCATTCGTAAACATTTGATTAAGTAAGCTTTGCTGTCTTTTAAGAATGGGGTGAGAGGCTAAACGTTATTTCTCTAATATTTATGTAACTATGACATAATATTAGTAGCCCTTTTATTGTTTGATTGTTTGTTTGTCTTAAATCAGGTTATGAAAAGTTTATATTTTCTTAAAGATGCACTATGTAACTTTTCGGCTGAGGGTCCGCCACCTTTTTTTTACGGGTATGTCACTGCTCTGCGTCGAATGTTCCACAGTATGACATTAAACGGATCTACATTACATTTATTCAATTACAGGTGGTTTTATAGCTCAAGAATATATCTCTAAAATATTGCATTCTTATTTTGAGTGGGATTCCCTCTCTACAGATCTGACCTGTCACTTGGCCTGGTTTGGTTTCCGCGATGATAGAAAGGTTTAACGCTATACTGTGAGACATTTCAGACAAACATACACTCCACCAGAAAAGTTATAAAATGCACCTAAACAAGGAGCTATACACATGTTAATCTTTTAATCCTCTGCACTGGGCAACCTGACTTAAGGTTGACCTGGCTGACCAGAGTGCGGCACCTATAGAACCTTCTCCACAACATAAGTCTTACCTTTACAATCAGGAGTCCATAGAGCTATAGAATTAATAAATCAATTCAATCAATTGTACATGTTTAAAGGTCGTATATTATGAAAGCTGACTCTTGAGAGCTTTAAGCCATGTTACAATGCTGTTACCTCAGCAAAAACATACCTGGAGCTGTGTTTTGTTTCATTTCCACATGTCTGAGGAACCTTTTATTAGGCATCTGTCTTCAACTCCAAAACTCAAAATGCTCTGTTTTGAGGTCATGAAGTGTTAGTTTTCAAGTTAATAGCTACATTTGACCTTTTATCAGTACAGCCGGTTTCACTTCATGGAACCGTCTGACCTCGCAGCATAAGGATTTGTTCGCTTGACGGAAGGTGAGTTCTTTTTTTATTTAACCAATCGCTGCTGTTTGGTCGTGACGTATGTAATGCGCCGGAGCACTCAGTGGTGTCCAAGTAATTGCCGGCACAACAGCAAATCAAAACACAGAGTGAACATGTCTGTCTGTTTCTGCGAGATTAACTTGTGAATTAAAGGTGCAATAAAAAATGTGAAGTTTGTATTTGAAAAAGAAAACCCAAAGGGGGATAGAGCATGCAGTCTGCTACCACAACTCGGGTTGGTTCAGCTCTATGCTGCTTGGCCGGTGCGTGGTCTACAACTTCTGGGGTTCTTGCAAACTGTCTAGTGTATTCCAATTAATGACCTAGTCAGTGGAGACAAATGAAATTGAGCAGAGGCACTAGGTGGTGCCAACCTGGCTAACAGATTGGTAATTCCAGGGCTAAATGATCCAAATGATTGAAGCAAAGGTGTATGGAGTGTAAAACACCGTGGAGCACTTCCTGTATTGCCACATGACATCACAAGGTGTTTTCTGTTTGAGAGAAGAACTCAGTCTAAATATGCAGGTTTGTGTGTTAAACATGTGTGAATGAAACAAAACACAACTCTAGGTATGTTTGTGATGAAGAAACAACATTATAACTAGTGCTGTCATGCGATTAAAAAAATTGAATCTGGTTTTAGTTCTGGTTTAGTCCTGGTTTAGTCCTGGACTGGATTAGTCCTGGTTTTAGTCTTGGTGTTAGTTCTGGTTTAGAGGTGCACAGGAGGAAGCGCGGTTTACGCAGCGTACGCGAGAAAACACGTGGTCCGCGCGTTCTCAGGGTAATGACGATGATGAAGGTGTGTGTTTGTTTGTGTGTGTGTTTGTGTTTGTGTGTGTTTGTGTTTGTGTGTGTTTGTGTGTTTGTTTGTGTTTGTTTGTGTTTGTGTGTGTTTGTGTGCGTGTCCCCTCATGTGGCAGGTCACTATAGGACAGTAGTGCAGACATCATGAGCCTATGCAGGTTGTTTTCACCAGTGACATTTAAGTTGTAGGCGATTTTATATTTGTTATTTTCTTTTATATTTCACGTTGGGAGAATAATTTCCAAGACACAAATGTGTTTTTACCTGTGCACTGCTGCCTCTGTTCTACTGGCTCTACGACCTCGTCCATTGTGTGACTGACGCCGCAAATGTGAACATGATGTTTACTTACGCTGTTACTGCGCGCGTTTTGTGTGGCTTTCCGGCAATGAGTGGAATTACCGAAATAAAAAAAATTTATAAATGTGTTTTGTGTGTGTGTGTGTTGTTGTTGTCCCAACAACACATAAAAACAGGTTTTATAATAAAGAAACTCACATACAGAAACACTAAAGTTAGAGATTAAAAATGAGATTAACGCGATTAAAAAACATAACGCGCTAAATATGACTGTAATTAATTAATCGCAATTAACGCAATAATTTGACACCCCTAATTATAACACAGATCATAAAATTTACCCTCTAAAGCCTCGCCGCCTTATTAGCCACAAAATAAACAAAAATAAAAGCATTTTTCTCATTTTTACTGCAATGAAAAGCAACAAAAACATGTGTCTTTACTCTATACAAAACTGACTCTCATTTGGCCTAAAGCATGACCTCCTCCTGTTTCTTTTCCCTGGAAATGTTGTTCGTTTGGCTATAACATTCCACAGAATCACATAAAAATAATCTCAATGAAGTATTGTCAAAATGATGCTTTTCAACATGTTTGGCAATTACTGAAACAAAGGGTCCTTAGAGAACGGCTATACACAAACAGACCAGTATTATTTTTTTTACAAATCAAGATTTTTAAGATGAAATTTCTCTCTAAATTCCAGCAGATTTGATTATTGCCAATGCTGGTAAATGCAGAAGATGGTATAAAATAAGATGTAACCACCGGTTTTGAACAAGATAAAGAAGCAAGAAAAAACTTTGCCATTTTTTCTTGGTAATTGAATGATAAAATACAAAGTTTAGCATGCTACAGTTTCCTAAAGTCCACCAGCTAGTCATTCCTGGAGTGTGCCGCTCTTGGTTGGCCCTTGTGGCTAATTGGAAACACATTTTTTCTCAGTGACTTGTTACGAGAGAGACAGGAAGAGAGACTGAGAAAGAGGGGTGGAGAGAGGGATGGAAGAGGAGGAGGTGGAGGGCGTGAGACTGACACCTTCGCACTCAAAGACATATTGTATTCCTAACTAATTAACCCCTTCGTAATGCATAGGAAATATGCGCCGCCCGTCTGCCCTTCGCCGCTGTCCTCCCTCCTTCACCTTCTCCAGAGATGAGAAACTATTTGGTCGGGACACTTTTTGGGCGGCCATTTTGGGTCCATCTGCGAACACTTATCGAGGTGTGTGCAGCTGGCGAGGCTGTGGAGCAGCAGTGACACATTGAATCATGCCATGTCGTGTCAGGGGGTTTCATAACTTCGGTCGGTGTAAGATTTCTATGCAAGACATTGGTACTGAATTGTGAAAATTGAAAAACAGATACTAATCGATCCAAATCCACTTTATTTCTATAGCACGTTTTACAAACAAAACAGTTTCCAAAGTGCTGCGCAGAGATCATAAAATGAAGACAACAAAAAACATAAAAATCATAAAATAGCAGTAAAAAAGTAAATAAATAAAAGACACAGAGGACCGCACAACTCACGCGGTGTTAAAAGCCAGAGAATAAAAGTGGGTTTTAAAGCCCTGTTTATACAAGAACACTTGCGGATGAAAATGACAAAATGTTTTATCGGAAGTGCCTTTCATTTAGACGATGACGGCGTTTTTGGAGCTTAAAAATGCAAAAATCTGAAACCACCTCCAGAGTGAAAAAGTTGAATACGCGCCGCTGTAGCGTTTCTTTCTACACCGCCCAAGACGGAAAAGTCTGGTCAGATCTGCTCACGTCGTGTACATGTTTGTCACATGCATCACCATCTAGCCATGCCATCCTGGCATGCATACCCAATCGAATTCCACACACTTTTGCATCATCGTATGCATGCAGATTTCCTCCTGAAAATGCTTGTCTAGACACGGAATAAAAAATGAAGACGCGATGCCACTTTTGCATCTTCTGTTCAGACTGTCATCAAATATAAGTGTGTTTAAGATGAGACTTAAAACTGTCCACTGTGGGGGCTGTTTGGACGTGGGGACACAGAGTGTTCCAAAGTTTGGGGCCAGCCACAGTGAAGGCCCTTTCCCCCCTGGTTTTAAGGCACATGAACAATGCTCCTGGATTTTTTCTTTTACGTGCTGAAAAAAATTTGCGTCCACACATGTGTTGGATCGATAAATATTCACGTCCAGATGACAACGAAGCACTGAGTGAAAACGATGTGACACATATGCCACACCTGTATGTGGCACTGTAAACAATGATAATAATATTTAATAATGCATATCTCATCACCATTTTTTTTTACTTTAAGGTAATTTAGCCTATTTTAGAAGTATCCCAGAAATATACCCATTTTGTTTTGCAAAAGTTAAGCATAGGTTTTTGGTTTTAGCTATATGATTTGGATGAGAATTATTCAAATGACTTTGTCTCAAAATGCAACAGTTTAATTACTTGTCCGTAATCTTTGTTATTGATCTGGGTGTGTATTCTGTTGTTAGCATTTGTGCTAAGAGTGTGTCTCGGTTGCTGGGCGACAGGTGTGGCTCCGTGGGCTACACCTGTCCCATTTCGGAAACGCTTGCGGACTGCAGAGGCTAGTTCGAGGGCTGCAGGCTTCGGAGGACCCTGGGGATGACGGGGTCACGACGTCATCGTTTTCCAAAAGCTGTGGTTCGCTTGTCCACATGACAACGCGATGCCGGCATTCTCAGATTTCTCCCCTCTGGAATCCGTTCTTAAAAAAAACTCAGTTTTCGCCCACCCAAAACG